AGGACTGCATCATTCAACCCAGAAGACTGAGGATAAAGGACTGCATCATTCAACCCAGAAGACTGAGGATACAGGACTACATCATTCAACCCAGAAGACTGGGGATAAAGGACTGCATCATTCAACCCAGAAGACTGAGGATAAAGGACTGCATCATTCAACCCAGAAGACTGAGGATATAGGACTGCATCATTCAACCCAGAAGACTGAGGATAAAGGACTGCATCATTCAACCCAGAAGACTGAGGGTATAGGACTGCATCATTCAACGCAGAAGACTGGGGATAAAGGACTGTATCATTCAGCCCAGAAGACTGAGGGTATAGGACTGCATCATTCAACCCAGAAGACTGAGGTTATAGGACTGCATCATCCAACCCAGGAGACTGAGGTTATAGGACTGCATCATCCAACCCAGAAGACTGAGGGTATAGGACTGCATCATTCAACCCAGAAGACTGAGGATAAAGGACTGTATCATTCAACCCAGAAGACTGAGGTTATAGGACTGCATCATCCAACCCAGGAGACTGAGGTTATAGGACTGCATCATCCAACCCAGAAGACTGAGGGTATAGGACTGCATCATTCAACCCAGAAGACTGAGGATAAAGGACTGCATCATTCAACCCAGAAGACTGAGGATAAAGGACTGTATCATTCAACCCAGAAGACTGAGGATAAAGGACTGCATCATTCAACCCAGAAGACTGAGGGTATAGGACTGCATCATTCAACCCAGAAGACTGAGGATAAAGGACTGTATCATTCAACCCAGAAGACTGAGGTTATAGGACTGCATCATCCAACCCAGGAGACTGAGGTTATAGGACTGCATCATCCAACCCAGAAGACTGAGGGTATAGGACTGCATCATTCAACCCAGAAGACTGAGGATAAAGGACTGTATCATTCAACCCAGAAGACTGAGGATAAAGGACTGTATCATTCAACCCAGAAGACTGAGGCTATAGGACTGCATCATCCAACCCAGGAGACTGAGGTTATAGGACTGCATCATCCAACCCAGAAGACTGAGGGTATAGGACTGCATCATTCAACCCAGAAGACTGAGGGTATAGGACTGCATCATTCAACCCAGAAGACTGAGGGTATAGGACTGCATCATTCAACCCAGAAGACTGAGGGTATAGGACTGCATCATTCAACCCAGAAGACTGAGGGTATAGGACTGCATCATTCAACCCAGAAGACTGAGGGTATAGGACTGCATCATTCAACCCAGAAGACTGAGGATAAAGGACTGCATCATTCAACCCAGAAGACTGAGCCTAAAGGACTGCATCATTCAACCCGGAAGACTGAGAAGGCTTCAATGACATGCATATGGTGCAGTTGCGCTTCGATATGATGTCATGACATCAGACACCATTTTATTTGTGCAATTTAATTGGTGGATGTTTTGGCCGCCTTGATCTGTTCCCAAGATGCATTGCTTAAGCAACATTTGCTAAAAAATACCATGTAAAAAAACCCGAAAAAAAACAAAACAAAATAATTTCAATCAAACGGAATTTATTCCTCACCAGAAATGTCTGAAAATACACAAAGATAAAGCAAATGATCTCCGAAGACTTAAATGAAACAAATGGATTCTTCTATACAGATAAATCTACTTTCATGCTCCATAGCGCCATCTGTCTGGCCAGCCAAAGTTATGACATATTGAGACTTCCCGTCAAGCCCGTCCATTAGGAGACCGGCGACTTACCCCTTGAAGAGCGATGGGGTCGGAGGCTCTGATCGGTGAGCTCTAGAATATTTCATGTACATTTAAAGAATATATAGACCTACCGCCTCTGTGGTTTACAAAGGCCAACACTGATATCTGTACGCAAAGCAGCCAAACTTCTTATATATTTTTTTATTTACTTTATCTACCTCTGATTATCTCTCTTAATAAAATAAATCATCTGATCTACAGATTTGATTCGCACCATTGGGCACAAAATTGCTGTAAAATATGCCAACGTACTACAGGAAACTCGGAGTGGAGCGATTCGTTATAGGAGTTGATAGTTGGGGACTCTCAGCAGTTTCCCACAACCCCCTTGCTAGCCTGCAGTACCCAGTCCATGCCGGAAGTGGTATTAAAATAGAAAGAAACATCTATTAAATGTAACTCCAGCCCAAAATATTGGCATTGGGCTGCTGGTGACGTTGATTCATAGACTGGCTTGGTATATCCTTTGGGGACTCCAATGCCTTTAGCCTGAATTCCCAGCTGCACCCGAAGTGTTTGGCCATCAGCCTGATGACTCAACGTTTCCTCTATTCTGTAGAACAGGGGTAGTCAACCTTGGCACCCTAACTGCACCCAACTGTTTGGCCATCAGTCTGATGACCCAAAAGTATCCTCCATTATGTAGAACAGGGGTAGCAAACCTTGGCACTCCAGCTGCACCCAACTGTTTGGCCACCAGCCTGATGACTCAACGTATCCTCCATTATGTGGAACAGGGGTAGCCAACCTTGGCACCCCAGCTGCGCCCAACTGTTTGGCCATGAGTCCGATGACCCAAACGTATCCTCCATTCTGTAGAACAGGGGTAGCCAACCTTGGCACTCCAGCTGCGCCCAACTGTTCGGCCATCAGTCTGATGACCTAAACCTATCCTCCATTATGTAGAACGGGTAGCCAACCTTGGCACTCCAGCTGCACCCAACTGTTTGGCCATCAGCCTGATGACTCAACGTATCCTCCATTGTGTAGTACAGGGGTAGCCAACCTTAGCACTCCAGTTGCAATGCAACTCCACCTCTGGAAGTCATGCCTGTGGCTGTCAGAGTCTTGCAATGCTGCATGGGATATGTAGTTTTACCAAAGCTGGAGTGCAGAGATTGCCCACCCCTGATGTAGAACAAAAAAGGTTGAGTGGTCAAGACCACTGGAGTCCGCTAATGATATAATAAGCTGGTAGATGATTCAACCCACCAATTCCCACCCAAAATCGACCTCTTAGTTTTTGAGTAGAGTTGGCCTTCAAAACAAATGTGGTCAGCTGAGTAATTTAAAGGGGGTTGTCCATCTTGAAACCTCCATATAGCAACCCATTGATGAAGTGATGTTGTGACATTAGATTTCATTAGCAATCCTAATTCCCCCATCCCATACGCTGGAGGTGCTGCAGGGGGATGGTGGTGGGAATTGACTTGGAGGTTCCACGTGGCTCTTTGAACAAAATGACTGCAGTCTCCAATATATATATATATATATAGATTTGTCTGCATATAAAAAGGAGAGGAAGAAGCAAGATCGCCGTTTTCATCAACTCAGTAGTCACTTTAACCCTCTCCGTGCCGGAACAGGCTGGGCAGGCATTAAATGCAGCACCAAAATATGTTCATGTTTGAAATGTGTTCCAGTCTGGAGGTACAAAACATGTAATACATCCCCACAGGTATGTCTGAGACATGTCTATGTGCAAATCTGCATTTTCACCGGGGTTGTACATAAAGAACAGCAAGGGGCAGTGTCCTTATAAAGTTCCTATGCATTATGAAATACTTCCTAACTCCTGTTTCCAGTGAACCAGATTTTCCATCTGGACAGCCTTAAAGGGTATGTTTTAAAGGGCATGTATACCCCAATTCGATTTTTTTATCATGTTTGGAATCATGTCTTACTGTATGCAGTTTTCTTAAGAAAATTGTTTTTTGGTGAATGCAAATGTCTTACCTGGAGATCCTGCCAGTAACATCACTTCCTGTTGCAGGCTGACAACACTAAGCCACTGTCTCGCCACAAAAAGCAGTGTTGTCAGCCTGCTGTGTGCGCTCCTTTAGTTGGTCAATGGGCTGCCTAGCAGATAGGTAGTCCAACAGTCAACTCACAGGACTTGAATAGCAAGCTGACAACATGAAGCCACTGTCTCGCCATTACCAGCAGTGTTGTCAGCTTGCTGTCTGCGCTCCTTTAGTTGGCCAATGGGCTGCCTAGCAGATAGGTAGTCCAACAGTCAACTGACAGGGTTTGAATAGCAGGCTGAAGCCACTGTCTCGCCATTACCAGCAGTGTTGTCAGCCTGCTGTGTGCGCCTTTAGTTGACCAATGGGCTGCGTATCAGATAAGTAGTCCAACGGCCAACTGATGGGGCTTGAATAGCAGGCTGACAACTTGAAGCCAATGCCTCGCCATTGGCTGCAGTGTGTCAGTCTGCTTTTCAGGTCGTTGGACTACCTGATAGGCAGCCCATTGCCCAACTAAAGGAGCGCACACGGCAGGCTGACAACACTGCTGCTAATGGTGAGACAGTGGCTTAGCGTTGTCAGGCTGCTACAGGAATCGCGGTTACTGGCAGGATCTCTAGGTAACGTTTCTACCGTCCTTCTTTGCAATGGGAGAGGAGCTAAAATACAAATCTGACAACCTGTATTTTGTGGGTTTGAGCTAACCCCCTCCACTATATCAAGCCAATGGGCTGTAGGATTCATGCAGGAGCACAGCTGGGAAAGCTCCCATTGCATTGTGGGACCTGAGTTTTTCCTTCTGGTATTGGGCAGTTAAGACACGCTTGGTCACTATAAAAGTATTTGTTTTATATAGAAAGGGGTGGGGACTTAAAATATATTTGCATTATTTAAAGTAGTCATTTTGAGGGCTAATTTGGCCCTAAATTATCCGCCGTGTGTGGTCCCTGGCAAGTTAAATCACATCTAGTTATGGAGAAGCATGTGACTCAATCCATGTGACAGCAATGGGCCAATCACCAACGCTTGCAGCTTACACAGGGCTGCATCTCCTGCTGGCAGCAGCTGGGGAGGAAGTATTAAAGAGAACCTGTTGTTTTCCCAGCATGAACAGCCCATTGATTCAACCTGCCGGTCACCACTCACAGCTGCAAAGACAGCTATGGGTGTAGTTGACCATTAAACACCCAAAGGGTTTAGTAGAATTCTTACTTAAGCATGGTGTCTTTGCTATACACCAAAACCCACAAGGATGCTACGACCTTACATAGAATGAATGCGAAAACAAATGATTTATTAACATTATTACTGCTGGATTCCTCTGTGCTGCTGTTGCAAACAGGTCACATGTGCACCAACACCATATATACATTTGTGCATTGACGCAATATATACATAAACATACACCAATCAACCGCCTTCAAGTCTGTAGTCCAGTAACCCACATTCGGAGTTAAGTCCTTTACTAAGGAGTGGATGCGATACATTCGGATATTTAGCGTGAACTGGGCTCTGCCCATGAGGAATGGGACGTAAAGCGGGGGTGCGGGAGGCTTCACGACATCCGTTGTACATTCCTCTACGTTTGGGGAAATTATACACAGGCTGTGATGATTCCTCAGGCGATACGTGGAGACTGAAACCCGGCAGAATCCTTCCATGTACTCTTAGATGTGGCTAAGACAGATGGGGTTCAGGTGCACAGCAGGATTCTCCGTGCAGGTTGATCATCACCACCGCCAGAGTGTGCTAGGCTGAGCCCGAATGCATCTATGGGGGGACCAGCATGTCGGGGATCACATCTGCCTCCTCTGCATCCTGGATCATGGGCAGAGCTTCATCCTCCTACCAGAACTCGCTGGAGAGTTAATGGAATCTGCAAGTGCAAGAAAAATGTCAGATGTCAAT